AGCACAGTGTTTTGATTATTATAGCTTTGTGATTAAGTTTTGAAATCAGGAATAGCTTTGCTCTTCTTTTTCAAGACTGTTTTGGCTATTTGGGATCCCTTGTGATTCCAGGGGACTTTTAGAATGGGTTTTTCTATTTCTACAAAAAAAGTATTATTGGGATTTTGATAGGGATTACATTAAATCTGTACATCATCTGGGTATTACTGACAACTTAACAATAATAGGACTTCCAATCCATGAACATTCCCATTTATCTGTGTCTTCTTTCTTTCAGCAGTGTTTTGTGGTGTTTAGTGTATAAATCTTTCACTTCCTTGGTTAGGTTTACTCCTAATTACCTTTTTCTTATTGATGTTAATGTAAATAAGGTTATTTTCTTAATTTCCTTTTTAGATAGTTCAGTTAGTACATAGCAATGCAACTGGGTTTTTTTGTTGACCTTATATCCTGCAACTTTGCCGAATCTTTAGGATTTTCTATATCTGACATCATGACATTTGTACACAGAGATAATTTTACTTCTTTCTCACCAATTTGGGTGAAATCCCAGTTCTGCTATTTCTGAGGCAAGTAACTAAGGTGCTTTATGCCTCAATTTCCTCATCTGAAATTTGTGAAAATAATAGCATAATTATTATATCACAGAGTTATTGGGAGGATTGAATGAGTTAATAGATGAAAACAGCTTAAAAAAATAGCTTAGTGTCCTTCATGTAGTAATAGTGTGTAAACATTAACCACCATTTTGTAATATTCTTAAATTGATTGGAATGTTTACTATTTTACAATGTGCAAATTCTTATATATTTAAATAATCCATATGAGACACCAACTGTGTTTCCTACAATTCAATTCTTTTTTTAAAAGATTTTATTTGAGAGAGAGAGTGAATGAGAGAGAGAGAGTGAGAGAGAGCATGAGTGAGCAGAGGGAGGAGAGGGAGAAGCAGGCTCCCCACCGAGGAGGAAAGCTGATGTGGGGCTTGATCCCCGGATCCTAGGATCATGACCTGAGCCGAAGGCAGACGCTTAAGAACTGAGCCACTCAGGCACCCCTACAATTCTATTCTGATATTAACTATTCAGAATTAGTGCAGACCCCACAAATCAAGAACTCAATCCCATAAGACTGCCTCTACTTTAGATGCCTGTTTCAAGTCTTAGGAACAACCCATACTTTTGACCCACTGGGATTCCCACAACGCTCTGCTCAGATTCAATCATTTGCTAGAATGGCTCACAGATCTCAGAAAAACACTTTACTTACATTTACCAGTTTATTATAAAGGATACAAGTGAACAGCCAGATGAAGAGGTACATAGGACAAGGTCTGGAAGGTCTCTATCACAGGAACCTCTGTCCCTGTGGAGATGGGGTGTGTCACTACAGGTGGATATATTCACCAACTTGGAAGCTCAGCAAATCTCATTGTTAAAAAAGTTTTTATAGTGTTCAATATCCAGCACCCCTTTTCCTCCCTGGAGGTTGAAGATAGGTCCAAAACCAAAAGAACCAAAGGTTCTTAACCTTTGCGCCTTTAGGTGACCAGCCCCATCTTGGGACCATCTGGAGGCCCCACCCTTTCACCTCATTAGCATAAACTCAGGTGTGCTTGGAGGAGGCTTGTTATGATTAAGGGAAGACGTTCTGTCACTGAATCCAAGGGTTTTAGGAGCTTCTTGCCAGGAATGAGGGCAAAGCCCAAATGTATTCTTTATTGTACTACAGTTGGAAAGAAGTAAAAGAAAATGAATTAATTAATGGCTGTTATTTTAAATAGCCTTATCTCAAACTTTTCGGAAGCAAAGACCATGACTTCAATTTTAATTGTCCTATAATGTCAACCATTGTGCCAAACAAGTAATCAATTGATAATAGTAATACCTTTCATTCATGGAATGCTTCATAGCTTTATAAGTCATCTCACATGTATTATCTTCTTTGAATCTCACACATTTGTAATGGTCAACATTATACAGATGATCAAACTGAGGTCCTGAGATGTTAAGCTACTTAGCCAGTAAACATACCTTAGAAGAAGCAGAGCTAAAATACAAACTCAGTTCTACTGATTTAAATTCCAGCCTTTGTTTACTTCACCACAAAAGATACTAAACTATAAGATAGGTGACTTGTTCTACCTGGGTTGGTCCTAGATCATTTAATTTCTCTGGGTCTTATTTTCTTTATCTGAGAAATGATCATTAAAGGATTTTCATTTCCAAATCTTAAGATTCTATTATCTCTAAATTCTCTTCTGGTTTTAAAGTAACATTTAATATCATTTAAAATACCACAACAGTTGGTTTTTCCTTTGCACTGAAATGTCAACAGTGGAGATAATAACCATATTTCCATTTTAGAAATATTCCTGGAAAGCCACTAATTTAGGAAAGACACAACATTTAGTAACACTGGTAAACCCCACTGGTTTCCATTAAAAAAAAAAAAAAGCAAACACCAAACACTTGTGTTTCTAAGAAAAAGTATGTAATATACTTTACTAATTAGTTTTGGTGAAGAATAAGTAGGGATAATTTTGACTCCCATGACATCATATTTGTTAAAGGAGTACTCTAAAAGTAGAGGGGATGTATTCGTGAAATATTCTTGATTTCAGGAACATTTCAACCAGACATCTACTTCTTCTTAGACCATTAACATTTCTCTCTTAGAAATTATTTGAATCTAAAAAAAAAAAAAAAAAAAAGAAATTATTTGAATCTGCACAACTTTCTTCTCCTTTTTTATTATAGGATATGAAAAGCTTGTGGTAGGCTGGAATACTACTTCTTAATTCTCTGCAAGAGAGCATTATTATTGACTAAATAAAGAAATAACAAGAGCCAGGCATTGGAGGGGAGGTTAAGCTAGTAGGTAAATTCTACTGTTTTCCAACATTGAGATTCTACAATTTCATTTTTTACCCCACCCTAAAATTCATGGTCCCCAGTAATATGAGATGTCTATAATCCATTTTATAAAGCCTCTAAATTCAATATACTAATTTGAAAAGAAGCCTACTCATCTCCACATTTGATAAAGTACTTTTTCCCCTCCTTTTAAAAAAGTGTCTCCATGCAAATTTCTTATATAATTACACAAAACAAATGCTTTAGAACACAAGGCTCAATCTGAAGCATTATAGGCCTCAAACATTTAATGTCACAAACTATTCATTTGCCTACACTTTGCAGATAGATCCCTGATGTACAGTAATTACTCTTACAGTGACATTCTGTAATCCTTTTTTGGACTGCTATACTTAGTCAAATATTTATTGAATGCCTACTATATGTCATGCACTATGTTAATCATTTAGTTTCACACAATTCTTAAAATAAAAAAGGCCATTCACTGCCTTTTGGTTAACTTTACCCTTTTGTAATGAAATAAAAGCTACTTCCTTTATTTCTCAAGCAATAAAAACCTCATTAATTCACTTTCTCAACTCCCAAGTTGCAGATATCAAATACCAGAAATGTGTGTTTTTTTTTTTAACAACCTGTTTTCCAATGGCGAAAATAATGCAATTCTGTTGCAGTGACATTAAAAACACAACACAAGACAACACAACACAACACCCTGGGGTGCGGCTCAGTTGGGTAAACCTCTGCCATCTGCCTTTGGCTCAGGTCATGATCCTAAGGTACTGGAGCCTGCTTCTTCCTCGGGCCCTCATTCATGCTTGCTCTTCCTCAAATAAACAAAATCTTAAAAAAAAAAAAAAAAAAAATCTCAGGGCGCCTGGGTGGCTCAGTCCGTTAAGGGGCTGCCTTAAGTCCAGGTCATGATCCCAGGGTCCTGGGAAGGAGCCTCACATCCGGCTTCCTGCTCAGAGAGCTCCCTCTCTCTCCACCTGCCGCTCTCCCATTTGGACGCTCTCTATCTCTCTGTCAAATAAATAAATAAAATCTTAAAAAAAAAAAAAAGAATCTCAAAAGTACGGTTTTCTTATAACTAGGAAGAATAAATAGAAAGATTTCAACTGAGGAAAACTTAAAAACACTGAAATGAATTTGACTTTCTGCACAGTCCCAGGAAGCAGACCAGCACCAAAAGATCAAAGTCATAGGAAAGTAGGTATCAGCTCAAAACAAAATAACCCCCTCTTCTGAACAACTTTTCTAATAGTTAAAGCTGGTTTGAATACTGAAATAGCTGCTCTCAGGACTACTTGCTTGGATGTTGTAAAGAAGACTGAAGCACAAGAGGGAAAGTTATATTACTATATAAAGTACCCGTCAACATGGATTCCGTAACTAACATTGCTATTACAACTTCCTTAAAACCGACAAAACGGGTGACGATGAGTTCTTTCTGAATTCAAGAAGCAGGGTATTCAAGGTTAGGATTCCTGCTATTTCACTTTCCCGTATGACATAGCCCTTGAAAAGACCTCGCAATGATCTCCTGTCCAAATAAATTTGGAGGAATCTCCTGCAGGACCTCCCATTAGGAAAAACGAACCTTACTAACCTTTCTATCCTGGAATGCTCCCCCCACCCCTCCCTTTCTTTTTGGCAAGGAGGGACAGAGAATTAGGACTCGGAAGACAGAGATGTTCTCAAAGGCGGCGCACTCTTAGGAGAGGAAGTGGGGAGAGCAATTCCAAGTGAGATCCTACACTACGTGGAGCGTGATAGGGTCGGGATGAAAGGAGTGAAGGGTAGAGAACAGAGAGCGTGCCGCCGTCGCGTAATAATGCCTGGTGATGGAGCGGGGTGTGTTCACGGTGGAGGGAACCCAGCCGCTCGTGGGCACAGGGGCTGGAGAAGCAGAGAGGCCGAGAGGCCCAGGCGCCGGACAGCACGCATGCGCGGGCCCAGAATCGCGGCCGTCACGGTCTGGGTCAACTGCCCGAGTCTTGCCTGGCGCGGGTCTGCGGGCGCCTTCCGCTCCAGCGAGGCGGCCGGGCACAGCCTCTTCTCTTTCCCGCCGCCCGGAACCCGACGGCCAGGCCAGGCCCATGGGGCCGTAGCACCGGCGTCGACGGCGGCTGAGACGGCTTCTGGGAGCGCGTGAGACTCCGGGGTCGCGGCGGCGATTGGCCGGCCGCGGCGCCCGCTCCCATAATGCAGCGCATGGCGCGTCATTGAAGAGAGACCATGATGGCGGCGGCGCTTGGGCCCCCAGAAGTGATCGCTCAGCTGGAGAACGCGGCCAAAGTTCTGATGGTGAGTACACCGCGACCCCCGCACCCCAGTATCTGCGAGACCCTGGCTGGCACTGTCGTGCCAGGCGTTCCCGTCCGCCGGGCTGGCGACCGGCAAGGGCCTCCAGGGAGCCCTGGAAGTGGAGGAGGTGGCGGTGGCGTGGCGCAGGATTCTCCATCCTACTTTCCTTCCCTCTTGGTTCCCCCTTCTTCCTGGGGCTGTCCACTTCCCCTAGGTGTCTGGCACTCCGGTCGGGCGACGGAATAGGGTGCTGAAGGAAAGAGGGTTTCCTGTGCCACGGTCTTCACGGTATACCCTGTCCCGCAGACTGGGTCGAGAGCGAGGCGCGGGAGTGAGGTCCGGGTCATCTCCGCAGGGCTTTGGTTGGGGGCAGTGTGTGCGCCGCTGAGGAATTGCTGCCAGGAAGGTAGGAAGGGATGGCTCAGCCCAGGTGCTGTTAGCAGCCCTTGTTTCCTTCGAGGATGTGGGTCCTCAAGCTCTTTCTCCGACCTGCAACCACCTCTGGGGTAACCGCAGCCGCCAGCACGTGGAAGGACTGGCAGGAGGAAGGAGGGGAATCTTTGGGACCAAGGTCATTGGGGCAAAACTTTTTTAAGTACCAAGTTTCCTGTGGGTCGCGCATTGAGAGCTGAGTCTAAGGGGCTCCTTGACTTAGTTCTTAACACTATTCAGTGAACAGTTTGATGAGTATGTTATTTGCTCAGGGAGTTTAAGAAGGCTGAGTTAAAGGATAAAAAAAAGTATTCCACGGAGGGAGTAGAAGTAAGGATAAACTATATTCAGTTACTCAGTAAACTGTATTTTCTGACTCGGTTTTGTTTTTGTAAATTTTGGTTTCCGTGTTAATTTTTTTTTTTTTTGAAGTTTAAGGCCCGGTTGATTGCGTGAATTTATCCAGCCTTTCTAAGAATCGAATATCGAATACAGCTAGCTTCGTTTTATTTTATTGATTGATTAATTGAACTTTTCTTTCCTTTTTGGTTCGGTGCTTGGATTATATGTTCGAGCATCACGTTTAAAAGTATTTGAACTAATTCTAGCATAGTATGTGGTACCACTTATCAAGTTTTGTTTTCACACACAACATCAGATAGCTTAGGAAATTTAACTAACGAAATTGAGAAGTCTAATAAAAGCAGGGTTTGCTTGCTTCCTTATGAGCAAATCTAAGTGAATCGTTTTGTCACAAAACCGAGTAAGTTTTCAGACTCTTCCAAGTTAAGTCCAGAAAAAACTAGCTAGTGTTCTCCTTAATACAGGTTCTTAAAATCCCTTACGTGGTATTTCCTGAAATATCTGAAAAATTTCTGGGAGCCAGGGACCCTATTTTCATTAGACTCTGGAAGCAGTATGTGACCCCAAAAAACACTGCCTTTGTTCTTACATTAATAAGATAAAATTAGTGTCCTTCATTACTGGCCTGAGTACTAATTAGCACTTGAGTTTGCCAGTACCAGTACTGTCCCTCTTCCTTGGCAAAGCTGTTTTATCATCTGTAAGGGAGTAGCTGAGAAGAATAGCAATAAGTTCTGTTTATTAAGTACATACTACATCCAGATACTATGTGTGATGGTTTTACATACTTTATTAATCCCTGCAACAGTTTTACAAGGTTGAAAGAGAGTTTATGTGGCCCAGATTACATAATTACTAAGTTGATGATTTAGGTTCAGAACTCAGATCTGCCTGACTCTAAAGCTGGGTCTGTTTCTACTGTACCTCACCATCTCTTAGATATGTTGTGTAGATATCCATTTACATACTTCTTATTTAATCATTCTAGAGGGTAGTATTAAAAAAAGTTATTAAAAGGAGGAAATTTGTTTCTAGAAGTTTCCACTTTATATTCACAAATGCGGACTACAAATGTTAGGAGTAACAACTACTGCATTATTTGAGTATGAAAGCTGTATTCCAATTTATTATTAGTAATAACAGCTCACATTTATTAAATGCTTACTGTGTGTGGAGCACTATGCCAGGTGCTTTTACATATGTTACCTTATTCTTACTAACTATAAGGTGGTAGTTTTTTTTTTTTTTAAAGATTCTATTTATCTGCTTGACAGAGATCACAAGTACACAGAGAGGCAGGCGGGGGGGTGGGGGTGAAGCAGGCTCCCTTCCGAGCAGAGAGCCGGACTCAGGGCTCCATCCCAGGACCCTGGGATCATGACCTGATTCGAAGGCAGAGGCTTTAACCCACTGAGCCACCCAGGAGCCCCTGTGAGGTGGTAATTCTTAACTTTCATTTTCATTTTATAGACTAAGGGGCAAAAACGTGTAAATGCTAAGTAATTTACCCAAATTTGCAAGCAAAGTAGTAGAGTGGGGACGCCAACTGAGATTTGTGTGTTACCAGTTTGTGGCTCGTAACCTAAAGGGTAGTAGGACTAGAAAGCAAATAAATTAATTAATTTGGGGATAGTTAGGATTGTTAAATCTTCAACTATTAAGCATTAGAATATTTTTTAAAAGGTTGAATGATTTTTAGCATTTATCCATCTGTGGGTCAGATGGATAGCCATCTGAGGAAATCTCATTTATAGGAAGTTGCTGTATGTTTTAATTGTTAATGTGTTTTGGGATTCAAAGTAATTAATAATATCTTTCACAATCGTTTTGCTGAATTTTTCCATTTGGTATCCATATATTTCTTTTATGAAATTTGGCATAGAGTTTTAGTGTGCAGAATAAACTCAGACCTCTTTTAGTACAGAGGTCTTAGTCCACAACAGATATCAGAAGGAAATTGTAAGCAAATTTTTTGATGAAAGCATACATATTTGGAAATAGGGTTTATAGTTTTATCAGCATTTCTAAGGAAGTAGAGACCCTGAAAAATAAGAACCTAGTCTAAGCATTCTCCCTTCCATTCTACAGATGGGGAAACTGAGGTTCAAAGAGGTAGAAGTGACTTGCCGAAGGTAGGTCACAGAACAAATTAGTGAGAAGAGTGATCCAGAACCTAGATCACCAGACTCCTATTTCGGAACTTTAAAAATTTTTTTACTCACCCATGTTGTTTCTCAAAGTCAATATATTATAATACTGTAAATGTTACATTTTATTGCTTGATGGGAAATTTTGAAATGTGTTTTTGGATATTGCAGTTGCTTCATTGTAAATATCTATATTCAATCCTATTTAGGTTATTGGGTAAATTGCCAAATAGTGTATTAGACCTTTATAGTGGAAAAGATATTTATTGATTTTATAGATCGCAACATAAATGGTGATTATCCCCCCACCTCAAGTTGTAATAGGGAGTATTTTCTGTAGATGGCTTGCAAATGCTGGTTAATCTTCTGATTCAAGACAGTGAGGATACCTGCTAGAAAATAAATTTGAAGGTGAACAAGCTAGAATGAGGATGGACTTTTGTAGGTTAGCAGTTGTGCAAGTGAAGTTATCTATTTTGAAAGCATTGTGCAGATGGAAAGTTATTTAAATAGGTCCTGAATATTTCTTCTGCAAAGAAGATTCCATTTATTGGCTTTTGGCTAAGACACCTAACCCTAAATTTTTGAGAGTATATTAGATATATACTAGAGTAAGTAAAGTTGACCACACTTCAGTGCTAACAATCTTATCAGTGAGAATCTTCTTTTTGACTGCTTGAATTTAGTAGGTTACATTACAGACCTGAAAATTTGGTGTTGTAGACACATATTCTGTTATTTAAAATTATAGCAGTAATACTGGAACGTATTATTTTAAAATACAGTGACAGCACACAAATACACAGAATAAAAAGTGAATCTCTCTCTTCTTCCTTTCCCCACTCTCAGTACCCCCTCCCTAAGCAGTCTGTATTAAGTTTCAATATACCTTTTTCCTGTGTTTTTATAATACACATTATATAGTTTTCTTTTTTTCACATGAATGAAAGTACTATAAATATCCTTAATTTAGGAAATCTTGCAGATACCTTTCTCAATAGTAAGAAATTCAAGCTGTGCAGAAAGGTGTATAGGGGAAAGTAAAAGTTCCCTAAGCTCCCATTTGCTTTTCAGACATGACTGTTTCTTGAGTACACATATTAAAAATCTCTAAACAGGGTGCCTGGGGGGCATAGTTGGTTAAGTGTCCCACTCGTGATTTCGGCTCAGGTCATGATCTCAGGATCGTGAGATCGAGCCCTGAGTTCATCTCCTTGCCCAGCGCAGAGTTGGCTTGAGATTCTCTCTCTCGCCTCTGCCCCACTTGTGTGTGTGTGTGCGTGTGTGTGTGTGTGTGTGTGGGCAGGCGTGCCCTCTCATGCCCTCTTAAATAAATAAATCTTAAAAAAAAATCTCTAAGCATATAAGAGCATACATAACATTTTTATTTTTTATTTTATTTTTTCATTTATTGGGTTTCTTTTTATTTTATTTTTTCATTTGTTTAGTTTCTCTTAGTGGATAATTATAAATCAGTAGGACCAACACAAAACTGACACAGCCTCTACAATGCTGATAGCAATTTTACATTTATAAACACATCAACACAGAGAGTATGTAGGCTGGTAGGCTAACAAAACCATGTCTGAACCTCACAGAGATGGTCCTTCCCTCGCGACAGGGACCTTATTCTGAGGCTGCATAACTGCCCCCGCTGCCAAGAAGTACACACATAATTTTTCAAATGTATTTTTTTACATCAATGAAATTGTATAAGCCTTATCTTCCTGTGCTTTTATTTATCTTCTTGTGGATGAATTGTAAATGGAGTTTGTTTCCATTTTGTGTGTGTGTGTGTGTGTGTGTGTGTGTGAGAGAGAGAGAGAGAGAGAGAGAGAATAGGTATAAAATGTAGGATGTCTTGATTTTAGAGACATAATGGAAAAGTTTAGTGTCCTTTTAGTATTAATATCATATTTGAACAATAAACCTGAAAAATGTTTTATTTTTTTAAATTTCCTTGGTATTGTTTTCCTGGCTTGCTCGAGCTGTTAGGAATTGTCCTTTGTGTGTGTGGTGCCAATATGTTGCAGAGTCCATATGTTAACTGATACTTCAAAGAAAAATAATTTACTGTAGTTGTTTTAAAACTAAAATGGATTTAATACATGTAAATGCAGCTTTAATGAGAATGATTTTATGATTGGTTTTCATGGTTTTTATTGTAGTGGAATCTGGCTACTATTTTGAAAGCATCTGTAAAATTGTAGTGAGATATAAAAAATTCCTATTTCATTCTCCCATCAATTTTGTGAAGCAAACAGAAGAGATATTAAATTTTATAAAGAAGTTCTGAGATTCAGAGATGGTAAGTGATTTGCCTGTGGTCCCATAGCTGGTTTGGATTTGGAGTTAAGTCTGGTCATTCATTCATTCTAGAGCATTTCTTCCATATGTATTTGCTAGGCATAATGCTCTCTACGCTAAGGAGATAGGAGAAAGACCTTGTTTTGAGCATATTCTAATGGGGGAGAAAGGCAAAACTATTAGTTGTTAGGTGGCATTATGGAAGTATATACTAGTGCTCTGAGAGTACAGAGGAGAGGGAGTAGCTGAGTAGTCAATGAAGGACAAGTTGGAATTTTCCAGTTGGGTGAGGGGTGAGGGTAGAGGAACATATTTGTATAAAGGCCCAAGAGAACCAAATGCCATGCTTGGGGAATATTTGAGCATTTATTTATTTATTTAAGATTTATTTATTTTAGAGAGAGCATGAATAAGGGGAAGGGCAGAGGGGGAAGGAAAGAAGCACAGTCCCGGCTGAGTGCGGAGCCCAGTGAGGCAAGTCTGGATCCCATGACCCCAAGATCATGACCTGAGTCGAAACCAAGAGTTGGACGCTCAACTCCCAGGCACCCCTTGTGCATTTATTTAGTAGATATTTCCTGATCCCTCCTATGTTTAAGGTACAATGCTTTTATTTTTTTGTAACCAATCATGAACATGTCAAATTTAAGAATTTTGATTATAGCATTTACTTTTCTTATTGGAAAGATGCATTATATTGAGTAAGCATTTTTCTTTCTTTTTTTAAAAGATTTTATTTATTTGAGATAGAGATAGCGAGAGAGAGCACAAGCTGGGAGGAGAGGGAGAAGCAGGCTCTCCACTGAGCAGGGAGCCCAATGCTGGGCCAGGACTATGGGATCATGACCTGAGCCGAAGGCAAACACTTAAGCAACTGAGCCACCCAGGCGCCCCCATTTTAATTTATTTCACTTTTGTCCTTTAGTCTCTGTTGTGGCACTAGTAATTTTTTCCCAAAAATTAGTTAGTGGGGAATTTTTATTTAAAGTTCAATTAAACATGTATTTTACATTTGGACTCATAACTCTACTAATTGAAACATGGCCAGTGATCCAGAGAAATATGAAAAGACCTTTGAAAAAGGCAGTTGATAAAATTTAACAGCCTTGGGCGCCTGGGTAGCTCAGTGGATCCTGGGATCCAGCCCCACATCAGGCGCTCTGCTCAGCGGGGAACCTGCTTCCTCCTCTCTCTCTGCCTGCTTCTTTGCCTACTTGTGATCTCTGTCAAAAAAAATAAAAAATTAAAAAAAAATTTAACAACCTTAAAATTGAACAGCTTTAAAAATTCAGTAAACTAGGAATTGACTTAAAAAATACAATATAGTTATTTCAGACCACTAGTAAATGGTGATATTCTTAAGAGTGAAATAGGGAGTTGTAATATAATTATTATTTAACACTTGGAGGGCCTAGCTGATACAGTAAGATAAGAAAAAGGAGTAAGTGCAAATATTGGAAAGGAAAGTAAAAAAGATAGTTTTTTGCGGGTGATATCCAGAAAAAGAAATCCAAGGAAATTAAACTATTAGAACTATTAGAGTATGGGGATGCCTGGGTGGCTCCGTTGATTAAGCAGCTGCCTTCAGCTCAGGTCATGATCCCTGGGTCCTGGGATCAGAGTCTCTTATCTGGCTACTTCCTCAGCGGGAAGCCTACTTCTCCCTCTGCCTGCACTGCCTGCCACTCCCCTTGCTTGTGCTCGCTCTCTGACAAAGAAAGAAAATCTTAAAAAAAAAAAAAAAAGAAACTCTTAATAGTTGTTTGGTAATGTGACAGATATAAGAGAAATAAACCAATTGTGAGATTTCTTTTATATCAACAATAATCAAGTTAAAATTGGGGAAAAAAAGACCTCATTCCTTCAGTTATAAAAACTGTGGGAATAAATTATAGGATACTATTAAACATTAAACACTATTAAACATGCAACTTTTTATGAAGAAAACTAAATAGCTTATTTGAAGAATACAAAAGGAAATCTGAATTAGATGAAGGCTATGTTCATCATTTCAAAGAATTAATTTGGTAAGGTGGCAATTCCTCCCTCGTTGATCTATAAGTTGAATGTAATGTCAATCAAAATCTCTTTCCTCTTCACCCTTTTTTGAGGTGGGAGAAAAATGTGACTAATTAATTAGAAAATATATCTGGAAGAACAGTTGTATGAGAATAACATTTTTTAAAAAGGAAAATGAAGGGTTGGGGGGACTTGATGTACAGTTAACTAAAATTTATTCAAAAGCTACAGTAATTGAGCGGCACCTGGCTGACTCAGTGGATGGAGCCTCTGACTCTTGATCTCTAGGTCGTGAGTTCAAGACCCATGTTGGGTGTAGAGATTACTTAAAATCTTTAAGAAAATAAAATAAATAAAGAAACAATTTTTAAAAAGTTACAGTAGTTGAAACTTTGTAGTGCTAGCATGGGAAAAGAATAGAAAATTGAAATATTGGTCTAAAAACAGAACTTTGATTAAAATGATATTTCACATTGTGAAGGTAACATAAGAAAAAAACAAACTATGCTTTAATGCTAGCAGAGGTATAAAAAGTTACAACTTTTAGGGGTGCCTGGGTGGCTCAGTGGGTTAAAGCCTCTGCCTTTGGCTCAGGTCATGATCTCAGGGTCCTGGGATCCAGCCCACATCAGGCTCTCTGCTCAGCAGGAAGCCTGCTT